AAAAAAAAAAAAAGGAGTACAGCTATGTGCCACCTTGCTTAGCTAATTTTCCTATTTTGAGGGTCTTGCTTTGTTGTCCAAGTGGTCTTAAACTCCTGACCTCAAGCAGTTCTCCCATATTGGCCTTCCAAAATGCTGGGATTATAAGTTGTGGGCCACTGTGCCTGGCCTCTTCTTTCATTTTTAAGTTGAAGTTTTAAAAATTTATTTTAAAATTATAAAAAAGTTCAAAATATAATTAAATAATGTATACTTACTTCTAGATTTTTGTTTTAATAGCTCCTTTTAGCAGTTGTGGATGGATCAATCAAAGGGGGCTGAGAGTCCGCAAGGCTAGTTGGAAGCTACTTGCATAATCTTATTTTTCTTTTTTTGAGGCAGAGTTTCACTTGTTGCCCTTGGTACAGTGCCATGGTGGCATTATAGCTCACAGAGACCTCAAACTCATGGGCTCAAGTGATCCTCTTGCCCCAGCCTCCCAAGTAGCTGGGACTACAGGCACCCGCCACAACTCCCAGCTATTTTTAGAGACAGGGGTCTTCCTCTTCTGCAGGCTGATCTTGAACTCCTAAGCTCTGGCAATCCACCCACCTCGGCCTCCCAGAGTGCTAGAATTATAGGTGTGAGCCATAGCATCCGGCCTAGTTGCATAATTGTATAAGGAGAAGGCCTATAGGAAGGGTTTTAAGGAAGAAAGGATAGTTTCATGAAGTATGGAGAAAACAGTCAACCGGGCTTTGTGAGAGGCTTGGTGAGAGTTTAAATGTAAAAGGTGAGGGAGAGGAAGCAATTTAACAGTAAGATACAGGTCTGGCTAGGATGACTGAGTTGCTAGCATTATCCTTTACTGAGAAACTAAGATTATCTAGCTGGAGATGTTTTTAGCAGTTGGAGAGTTGGTGCTCAAGGATAGAGAGAAAGAGAGAGACTACTGAGATAATAGCTTATAGTTGAAGCCAAGTGTTAATTGAGATTTCTTGGGCAGTAATATTGATAGCTAACATTGTAGGCACTTACTGTATGCGAAGCACTTTTGAATACTTGACATATATGAATTTACCTAATCTTTAAAGCGGCCCTTTGGAAAGGAGGGCATATTATTTTCCCTATCCTACAGATACAAAAATTGATCCACAGAGAAGTAGTATTCCTGGAACATTTTTATTTTTTCTTCTTACTGTCTTATCAGCCCATTTTTCCCTTCTCCAGTGATGGAGACCCAATGATGGGTTGGGGAAGGAGGAACA